AGAGCACCTGCCTAGAATCCCTCAGTGGGCTGGGATATGGCACAGTGATAGAACCTTTGGTTCAGTCCCTGCTTCCACCAAAAAGTAAACATTAGCCAAGTGGTGGTGGGCGCACACCTTCAGTCCCGTCACTCCCACAGAGTGAGTTCCAGGACAGCCAATACTACAAAGAGAAACCCTTTCTTGGAAAACAAAGAGCAAAACAAAGCCAAAAAAAAAAAATTTAAACATTAGGGAAGCAATCACTGCAGTAATGATTACAGCAAGAGCCTTCTAAAGCCCCTAAAATGTTGTAGGAGAGATTGTTTGCACAGTTTCAGTGACTCCCTTAGGATGAATATTAACCACAAAGGGAAGATCGTAACTTCTGAGTGGAGAACCTAGGCAGCACACTTCAGCAATGTGTTCGCCGTGTAAAGCATGCTGATTCCATGTCCCCGGGTATCACTTGCTGACATCACATCACATCTGTGGTATTTTGCCCAAAACATTAAACAATCCAATCAAATGCAGGGCATTCTACAGCCTTTGGGCTCTTCTAGCTGCAGAGAGACTGGTCTAATGACTATGGGAACTCCAGGAGAACTCAGCACAGCATGGATTTTGGAGTAACCTGCTGTACTGGCTGGTTTTGTGTCAACATGACTCAAGCTATAGAGTCATCAGAGAGGATGGAGTCTCAGTGAAGGAAATGCCTCAATGAAATCCTTCTGTAAGGCATTTTTTTCTTTTAGTGATCAATATAGGAGGGCCCTACCCATGGTGGGTGGTGCCATCCCTGGGCTGGGTTCTATAAGAAGGTAGGCTGAGCAAGCCATGGGAAGCAAGCCAGTAAGTAGCTCCCCTCAGTGGCCTCTGCATCAGCTCCTGCCTTCAGGATCCTGCCCTGTCTGAGTTCCTGTCCTGACTTCCTTCAGTGATGAACAGCAGTGCTGAAGTGTAAGCCAAATAAACCCTGTCCTCCCCGACTTGCCTTGGTCATGGTGTTTCATTGCAGCAGTAGAAACCTTAACTAAGATACCAGCACCGGGTTGGAGAGATGGCTCATCAGTTAAGAGCACTGGCTGCTCTTTCAGAGGTCCTGAGTTTAATTTCCAGCACCCACATGGTGCTTCACAACCATCTGTAATGAGATCTGGTGATCTCTTATAGCCTGCATGCATATACGCAGGCAGTACACTGTATACACAATCAATAATTAAATCTTAAAAGAAAAAAAGACCCCCTGCACCTAGGAAAGGTGTAAAACTGCTGCATGAGGCATGGTGGTGCAGATTGTCATCCCAGTTTCTCCGGAGGCTGAAACAGGAGAATTCTAAAATATGAGACTAGCCTGAGCAACAAAAAAAAAAGAAAAAAGAAAAGAAAAGAAAAGAAATGAGTCCAGCTCCAAGGCAGAGCACTTGGCTAGCACACAAGGCCCTGTGTTCAATCCCGAAAAGGAAAAAGGGGGTGGGGGTGGGAGAAGCAGCCAGCTTTTTCCTAGAAAGTGCCTATAGCACAGCATGGGGACCTGAGTTCAGATCTCCAGCACCTGTTATGCCTGTGTCATCGGACCCCCAAACAAGACCACCGCAGAGCCGGTATCTGATGCAAACACACTGGGGTTTATTGATTGCAGGTAGGTAACTTGGACTGTACTCCGTCATTCCAACGCAGCAGGTGGGGGAGAACGGCACCGAGGCTTCAGAGTAAGGGGATTTTAAAGAGAAAACCCTCAAGGCAGTGTGGCATAAGCCTTGGCATTTCAGGATTGGGTAAAAGTATACAACTTTTGAATTTATACTTTGGGGTATAGGGGAATTTCAAAACAGTGACTGTCAGCAGACAAAAAATTCAAAACACCTGTTAATCGGATACGTACAGGGACATGTGAAGCAAACAGATGTTGTTTGGATACCCTGGTGGGTCACTTTGACCAGGACTGGCACAGTTTCTTGGGAATGTTTATGACTTTGCTAGGCAGCATTCATCCCCCTTGTTAGGTCCTGTCTAAAATGGAATTCTTCCTCAAAATGGAGTTTGTTCTGCTCTTTCACAGCTGCATAAAAGCTACTGTAGCAATTCATCCTCCTCCCTTTAGCCCAGCACTAAGGGTGCTGGGGCAGAGTAAGAGACAGGAGGATCTCGGAACTCACTGACTAATCAGTCCAGGCAAATCTGTGAGCTCAAGATTTAGTGACAGTCTGTGTCTCAGAAAGTAAGATGGAGAGGAGTTAGAGAGATGGCTCACACTGAGAATGATGGCTGCCCTTCCAGAGGACTCCAGTTTAGTTCCTAGCACCCACACTGAGCAGCTCACAACTTCCTGTGACTCCAGTCTGGATCTGACACACTCTTCTGGGCTCTGAGACCATCTGCACTCACATACTCACACCCACACGTAGATGCAGACATATACAAAATTACAATTTTAAATAATAAAATCTGGTTTTAAAAAGGTAGGACTGGAGAGATGGCTCAGAGGTTAAGAGCATTGCCTGCTCTTCCAAAGGTCCTGAGTTCGGTTCCCAGCAACCACATGGTGGCTCACAACCATCTGTAATAGGGTCTGGTGCCCTCTTCTGGCCTGCGGGCATACACACAGACAGAATATTGTATACATAATAAATAAATAAATATTTTTTAAAAAGGTGACTATTTCCAGGCAGTAGTGGCACAGGCCTTTAATCTCATCACTAGGGAAACAGAGGAAGGCAGACCCTTGTGAGTTTGAGGTTAGTCTGGTCTACAGAGAGAGTTCCAGGACAACCAGGGCTACACAGTGAGACCTTATCTCAAAAAACAAGCAAAAAAAAGTTTATGTCAATTAAGATGATATCTGACTTTAGCCTCTGGCCTCTATAGACATTCACAAGTAGGGTACACAAAAGCATACACATACACACACACACACACACACAGAAGGGAGGGAAGCTGTCAGCTTGGAATTACATCTGTAGCTTTGTCAATTGTCCTATGGCCAAAATTAAATCCCTGGTGTCTGCCGCTTCTTGTGCCTTAGTTATGTAACATGTTAATATTACGAGAAGCCAGGCAGAATAGACGGGAATGCTCTGCACCAATTTTTGCTATTTTTGTATTCAAAAAATCCTAAAATATTTCAATGTAGAGTTTAAAATACATACACAGATGGGCAAGAGCAAACAGAACCTCATCTCTCCCCTAAGAGGGTGAGCAAGAGCAAGCGCTGTTGGTCCTGACCTGGCCCATGTGGGGAAGGGAAGTCCCATGTGTGATCAGGGTGGTGGATCCCTTTGGTGGTATCCCAACAGTTAATTCTGTAGGTACCGTCTGATTTAGAACAAAACCCCTGAGCTAGAGCAGGCTTGACAAGTCAGCGGCAAGGAGGCTGCCCTGCAAGCCTCCACGTGGGAGACCAGAGACAGGTGTCAGGAGTGGTGGTCAGGTCTGCAGATGAGGGACACTCACCTCCACCTGCATTTATTTACATCTCTTTTCCTCCCCCTCCCTTCCTTCTTTCCTTCCTTTTCTTTCTTTTCTTTTTCTTTTTCTTTCTTTTTTTTAAGAGAGAGAGAGAAAGAGAGAGGGAGGGAGGGAGGGAGAGGATCTCTATGTAGCCCTGGCTGTCCTGGAATTCACTACCTAGAATTCAGACCCTCGAATTCATAGAGATCAGCCTGACTGCCCCCAGAATGCTGGGATTAAAGCTGTGCACCACCCCACCGAGCCATTTGTTACCTTCCTCCAGTGCCAGTGTCGCAGTGAATAATACACATTTGTGACCCACTTCCGTTCTCTGTCTCTCCCCACAGACTGCCTTTCCCTTTCCATGGTCGAGGTCACTTCTTACAGTTAGCTCACGTGGTAGATTTGCATTTCAGTGGTTCCTGCGTAAATCAATTTCAAAAGCTACTGCTTGACCAGGTGTTCAGACCCTCCTCTACAGTCCCAGGACTCAGATGCCTGAAGATTGCAGTGAATTCAAGGTCAGTTTAAGATATCCAGGCTTTGTTTCAGAAAAACCTAGAAGGTGGCTCAGCAGGTGCTGCCGGAGCTGATGGCCTGAGCTCTGATTGGAGGAATCCAATCAGTGGCTCCTTAGTTTCTATTCCAGATGACTCAGTTTCCCTGCCAGGCCTCTCCAGAGCTCAGTATCCAAGCAGAGTCTCTTTGGACCTCATCCTTGCAAGATGTCGGAACCTCCTTAGAGGCCACACCTAGGCATCTGCTGCTTGGGAAGCCTCTACCGGCTCTGAGAGCCTACTGGGAAGGATGCCCAATCCTCTGCAGAGGAGGACCCAGCTCTTGGCTCTTGACCCAGAGCATTGTGCCAGTTGCTCTAGGCCAGAGCGTAAGAGAGCACAGTTGCTTCAGCCCAGAGCTCTGCTTAATCCCTGGGGTGCCAGGCATGCCCCGAGCCTCACCCTTCCTCCGTCCCAGGCCTATTTTGGGATGTTCTTCCGCCACTCCACCTACTCCACATTCTACAGCTTTCAGCCTTCTGAAATTTGCCTAAGTCCTGCGTGGTTGCTCTCCTCCCCTCTCCGCCTACTTTATCCCCTGCCTTCTCTACTTCTCAGGCACAGGCTTTTGAGATAAGGGGATGTTTGCCTGGGATGTTTCTTCTTCCTCTTCACTGTGCTGATAGGGCACACACTACTAGGTAGAAAAGCAAAGTCTAGCAGAAGCCACAGACTCCACTTGTGCTAAGGAAAAACAACACGATGGACCACACATGATTACAGGAGTCAGGTATGGTGCCAAATGCCTGAGATCCTCACACTAGGAAGAGTAGGGTAAAAAAGGATCAGGAGCTCAAGGGCAGCCTAGGCTACATAAGATCCCATGTAAAATACAATGGGGACCAAAAAGTGCCCAGAAAGAGTTCCTTCTGGGTGGGGAGATTAAGGTGACTTATTTTGTACCTTTCTTCCCTTCCTTCTTTCTTTCTCTTCTTGAAAAAAGAATTTTAGGGGCTAGAGAGGTGGCTCAACACTTAAGAGCACTTGTTGCTCTTTCAGAGTACCCAGGTTCAATCTCCAGCACCTACCTGTGACACACAACTATCTCTTCTGACCTTCAAGGACTCCAAGCAGGCTGTGTGGGAGTGCACACACCATGGTGCGCGTGTGGAGGTCAGAGGACAACCTGCAGGAGTCGGTTCCCTCTCTCCACTCCGTAGGTCTCAGGGGTGGAACTCAGGCTGGCAGGCTTAGAAACAAGCACTTTTACTAGCTAAGTCATCTTGCCAGCCCACCCTCTTTTGAGACAGGGTTTCCTCATTTTGCTAAATCTGACTTTGTCCTCACAGCAATCCTCCTACCTCAAGCTCCTGAGTGCTTTATTACAGCCCCGTACCACCCTGCCCAGCACTGGACCTGGCTCAAGGGGCAGTTGGTGCATTACCTGTGGGGAGGGCAAAGGTCTTTTGGAGCAAGGAGTGGAAGAAACTGGTTTTACTTGAACGCTGTGAAGAAGAGACCCAACAAGAAAAGGACAAGGCGAGTCCAGGAATTCAAACCTGGAGGAGTCAAGTTGGGGATGCCAAGAAGATCAGAGTGGCTAGGGCTCACCTACAGCCAGCCAAGGCTCAAAGACACTCACACGTGGAGATCAGGGCCCAGGAGGATGGTGGAGAGCCAGGAGCTGCCCTCAGGGATATGCCTGCCCAGGTGCTAACAGTGCAGGGAGCAGAGGCCTCTGGAAGCCTACTGCAGTAGCAGCTTGGTTGGCGAGAACTCTGGCCCAGGGCTGGGCGAGGCCAGATATCCTTCCAGAGCTTTGCTGAAAAGAGAAAAGAGGAAGTGGGCAGGGGTTGTTCTGTTTCTAGGATGCAAACCTTTTGTTGTTGTTGTTGTTGTAGCCTTATCAATTTTCTCTTTTACCTGTTGGGCCTGTATATTTATCTGTGCACCACTGTGTGCTTGTTGTCTGCAGAAGTCAGAAGAGAGCGTCAGATTCCTGGAACTGGAGTTATCGATGGTTGTGAGCTGCCTCGTGGGTCCTGGAAATAAAACTGGGTTCTTAACAAGAACAAGTTCTCTTAACTGCTGAGCCATCTCTCTAGTCCTTGCTTGTTGTTTTGAAGTTAATGTATAGGTATAAATTTATTTTTTTTGCATGTGAGTGTTTTTGCCTACCTGTACATTTGTGCACCATGTGAGTGTCTGGTACCTGCTGAGGTCAGAAGTGGGCATCCAGATCCCCTGGGACAGGACTTCACAGATGGTCATGAGCAGCTGTGTGAGAGCTGGGAATTGAGTCCAGGTCCTCTGCAAAAGCAAGAGCTTTTAAATCAATGAACCAGTTCCACACTCCTTGTGTGGAATGTATTACACACACACACACACACACACACACACACACACGCACGCACACACACATATTGAAACTTTTGGAAACAAAATCTTACTTTATCCTCTGACTAGCCTATAATTCACTGTGTAGTCCAGGCTAGCTTCCAGTTTCAACAATTCTATTGCCTTTGCCCCGCAAGTGCTAGGAATTCAGCCATGTACCATCATACGAAGTTCCAGTGCAATCCTTACGCACAAAGAATTGGGATTCCCACATATTTCTCTGTAGGTTTTATCAACACAAAATCAAAACACTTTTAAAATATATTGGTGGGGCTAAGTAGAGTGGTACATGCCTTTAATCCCAGCACTTGGGTGACCTAGGAAGCAGGCAGATCTCTGCATTTGAGGCCAGCCCGGTCTATCTACATAGTGAGTCCTAGGCCTGCTAAGGCTACATAGCAAGAGCTCGTCTCAAAACCCAAAACAAAAAAAATATAATATAACTAATATAATACACTGGTAAAAACTTCAAGTAAGAGGGTTACAGCAAAGTGGGGAAATCCCTGTTACAGGCTTCAAATGTTATCTGGTGACATTCTTGAGCTTTGGATTGGGTGGAAGCCAGGGATCTGTTAGTCCATTTCCAAAGGACATAACTAATAACTGTAGGCTGTTAGGTCAAACACAGAGGTGAGTAACAGATGCCTATTAAGGGGCTAAAGAAAGCGCAGGATGATTTGGGTGTGGATCTGCAACATTCCAGCTCTGTAGTCATGGGGTTCTAATCAACCCTGTAGAATCTTCAGCATAGGTGGGACTTCTTCCGAAAGGGGAACTGAAGCACAGGTGGGACTTCAGTTCTCAGTTTACTAAACTGTCAGAAGTTCATACCTGTAGTTCACACGTACTTGGAAGGCTGAGGTAAAAGGATCTCCCATTTAGGGCCTGCCTGGGATTCGGAGGGAGTTCGAGGCCAGCCTGAGGAACTTAATGAACTCATGTCTCAAATAAAAAGTAAAAAGAGCTCTGTGGTGATAGCTCCCTGGCAAAGGGACCAACCCAGAATCCTCCAGTGCTGGGTGCCTGTGAGACAGCTTAGCAGGTAAAGGCGTACAAGCCTAGTAAGCAATCAGTTCCTTTTTGTTTGTCTTTTTTTTTTCTTTTTTCTTTTTGGAAACTGGGTCTCAGTATAAAGTCCTGGCTGTCCTTGAACTCACTGCACAGAAATCACAGCTCTGCCTGACTCCACCTCCCAACTGCTGGGATTAAAGGCATGTGCCACTGCCCGGATGAATCAGTTCTACTTCTGGAATTCTCGTAAAGGTAGGAGAGAAACAAGCCCAACAATAACAACAATAATAAATAATCTAAAAACAAGAATGTGGTGTGTCTCTGTAGCTGGCATTGCCTAAAATCCCCCTAGTGAGAGGCTGGGGGCGTGACTCAAGCCTATCTAGGGTTTGTGGGGTGCCCTGGGTTCTGTCCCTAGCACAGCAAACAAAGAGAGCCCCCTTGTCAGTTATGATCGTTGGCATATGGGTTTTTTTTTGTTTTGTTTTGTTTGTCAAGACAGGGTTTCTCTGTGTAACAGCCCTAGCTATTCTGGAGTTCGCTCTGTAGACCAGGCTGGCCTCGAACTCACAGAGATCCGCCTGCCTCTGCCTCCTGGGTGCTGGAATTAAAGACGTGCCCCGCCACCACCCAGCTGGCATGTGGGGTTTGTTTGACTTTTGCTCTGCTGCTACAATGGATGGCACCCAGGACCCTGCTCACCCGCGGCAGAAGCTCTACCGCTCACCTGGAACTGCCAGCCAGTGCTGTGCGTGGGGCTCTTGATCCTGGTTTGGAACTGCTGTCAAGGTTAGGCTCCTCTCAACTCAGACTTGTTGCTGGGCCCCTCCCTGCCACACCCAGAACCACACTGGGACTAGGCAACACCCTCTGCGGGGAACCACCGAGGGCCAAAAAAAATACCACTTCCTTTGTGGCGCCTCCTGCCCCATCCAGCTAGCAGGGAAGTCCAATTGCTTCCTTAAGAGAAAGGGGTTTCTTGGGCATGCTGACCTTCTTTTCAGGGTCCGTGCCCCCGGCCTGCCCAACTTTCTGCTCCCTTTGCAGCCTCAGCTCCAGAGGCTGGAAGCCTCCAGCTAGGGTTTCCCAGCCCCCTTGCTCTTGGAGTCAAGTTCTGTTTACAACTGAAATACTGATCTGGTGCCAAGGACGAGGTGTGAGCTCAGAGGGACTGCCCTCCCCAGTCAGCCCTGCTGGACTGCGAGAAGCTACTCTAAGCCTGCTCTTCCAAGCAAAACAAAAATAAAATCAAATACAAAAAGTCGGGTGGAGTGGAATGGCGTGAGGGTAGAGTTCTCGCCGGCAGACTGAAGTTTTAGGTTCCGTTCCCAATACTCCATAAACCAGGTATTATGACGGTACACAAGTCTCTAATTCCAGGATTTGAGTGGAGGAATTAGGAGGATCAGAAGTTCAAAGTCATTCTCAGCGTCATAACAAGTTCAAGGCTAGCCTACTTGAGACCCTGTTTCAAAAAAGAAAAAAGTTGGGGGCGGGAGGTGCTGGAGAGATAGTTTGCTGGTTAAGAGCACTGGCTGTTCTTCCAGAAGACCCAGCACCCATATGGCAGTTCACAACTATTTGTAATTCCTGTTTAGGGGTTCTGACACCCTCTCACAGACATACATGAGGGCAGAACACCAATGTCCATGAAATACAAATAAATAAAAAAAAGTTAAAAGTTGGTTTTGGCTATGGCTAGTTATAACAGCATGAAGTGGTGGCACGGGGCATCCACACTATTGCAGGTCACATTGATGCTGGACAGCAGGGTTCTGAAGGCTACAGTCACGACAGCTCTTTCTGTTGCTATTTTATCTTTTTGAAACAAGAGCTTATGTAGCAGAGGTTGGCTTTGAACTCCTGACCCTCTTGCCTCTACATCCCAAGGGCTGAGATTCCCAGTGTGTAGTCTATTATAGCTCTCATATACACCTAAGAAGAGGGGTTCCTCCATTCCCTGGAAGCAGCTGAGGTTGCAGTTTCTAGGACGGTCTGGGAGTTGGGATTATAGCTCCCAGTTTGTGGTGTCAGGGACCCCTGGCCCTACAGACTTGGCAGCTCTCTGGAGCATTTCCTGCTACCGTGGCCTGTGATTTTCCTTCTCTGGTTCATTGCAGGCTTCTGTCTTCAGCCTCTGCTCTCCACCCTCTCTGGGCTTCTTCACTCCTTTTTCTTCCTGCCCTGGCTGCACCTTGCCCCATGATTTGGGTGCCTCTTAGGGCTGCAGGTTCGGTCACAGTTACCGCTGCTCTGGAGCAGCTTCTGCCAGTTTTTGCTGCCATGCTGCCCACTCTGCTGCCCCAGAGGCTCAGTGCATTACCAAGCTCTCTTGCCACCGCCATTGCTGTCACTCCACTGCTTCTGCTGACGCCACCACTTGTCTTCACTGCCACCCTCTACTATGTAAAGCAGACAAGAAATGACCAGCGGGAGCAGCTTTTTACTGGATCTACTGTGGCATCACAGGACATGACGACACAGGACCGTGCCCCAGGCTGACATGCCCCAGCTGGCCTGCCACATGGGTCCTACTTCTGTTGTTAGGGGAAGGGAATTTGCACCAAACGTAGGAAACCTCTCGTGCAAATGAAGCTTTGTGTTTGCACCAAGCATAACACTGCCATTAGCCCCAATGACCAGGTCTCACTAAATTGCCCAGACTGGCTTTGAATTTGGGATTCTCCTAGTTTAGCTTGAGCCACCAGACACAGCTACTAACGAAGAGCCAAAACTGACTGGTGATACAGAGCTGGTAGAGTGTCTGCCGAGCATGCCCAGGGCCCTGAGATTAATCACCAGCACTGCTTAAACTGAGCATGGCAGAACATCCCTTTCATTTCTGCCCTTCAGGCCAAAGGATGAGGAGTGCATATCAAATTTAAGGGCAGCCTGGAGTATATGAGACCCCGTCTCAAAAAAAAAAAACAGGAAAATAAACTAATTTAAAAATAAAAGAACAAGGTTGGGCAGTGGTGGCGCACACCTTTAATCCCAGCACTCGGGAGGCAGAGGCAGGCGGATCTCTGAGTTCGAGGCCAGCCTGGTCTACAAGAGCTAGTTCCAGGACAGGCTCTAAAGCTACAGAGAAACCCTGTCTTGAAAAAAAAAAAACTAAGCCAAATGTCCACACAGACTCCTGCCTCTGAATACACAAGTGTTTCATTTATAATAGCTTCTACTGACAAAACCCAGATGTCCAGCAGCTGGACCAGGGGTCAGCAAGCCATAGAGCCTTGGGCCTGTGGAGCCAGCCAGCTGCCCTGCCAAACCCATACACTTTACTAGTAGGGGACTTAAATGTTTGCTACAAATAGCCTTGTGACCCAAAACGACAAAATAACTAATGTCTATTAGTTACAGAAAAGTCCCTCAGCTTACCAATGAAATAAATACATTGTCAAACACTTGCCATATAAGGAGGCAAGTGCATGCAGCATGGGTGACTATTAAAAGCCAGCGGCAGGCTGGATGTGGTGGTGCATGCCTGTAATCCCAGCGCTGGAACAGAACAAGAGGCATTCCAAGACAGCCTGGCCAACAGAGTGAGAGCCTATGTATGTGTCAATGAGCAAGCACATGAGTGCACTAGTATCATTCCTCGGGAACCATCCACCCTGCTTTCTGAGACTGGATCTCTCTCTGGGCTGCTGCTCACTGAGTAAGTTAAATTGGTGGCCAACCAGCCCCAGGGATCCCAGTCCCAACTCTTCAGTCCTGGGATTACAAGTACACAGTGATAAACTTTTTTCTTTTTAAATTCAGATTGTGTGGTTGGACTCATGTCCTGGATGCTTGCACGGCCAGCACTTTACTAACTGATTCATCCGCCCAACTCATGACTCTTATTTCAAAGTGTAAAAGCCAGCCAGGCGTGATGGTGCATGTCTCTACTCCCAGACAGAGGCAGGCAGATCTACATAGCAAGTTCCAGGGCAGTCAGGACTATACAGAGAGACTGTTTTAAAAACAAAACAAAACACCCAGAAATAAAAAAAATAGAACGTGTAAAAGACAAGGGCTAGGAAAACGGCTCAACCGTTAAGAGCTCTTGCTGTTGCCGCTGCTGCTGGGGAGTCGGGGGAGCAGGAATGCAGAGAACTGGGGTTTGATTGCCAGAATCCACTTCCAATAGCTAGCAACCTACAGCTTCAGGGGGATTTGAGGCCTTTGCAGGCACACACACACACACACACACACACACAACCACTTACACAGACATACATACAAACACATTAAAAAAAGAACAGCCAGCTGTGGTGGCACTTGGTAGTAATCTCAGTGTTTGAGAGGACAAGGCAGAAGGGTGGCTGCGAATTAGAAGTGAGTCTGGGCTACACAGTGAACGAATTCCAGGCCGCAGTGAGACCCAGTCTAAAAGAGGAAAAAACAAATGGGGCGTGGTAGTGCACGCCTTTAATTCCAGCACTCCGGAGGCAGAGGCAGGTTGATCTCAACGAATTTAAGGCCAGCCTGGTCTACGCGGCGAGTTTCTGGCCAGTTAAGGTTACAGAGTGAAACCACTTCTAGTAACAAAACAAATGCAATTGAACAGTATTGGCAAAACCGGGCACGTGAGAGAGGGCCGGGGCAGGAGGGAAGGTCTGGCTTCCAGCCCGCAGGGCAGGGCGTCAGGGGCTTCCTTCAAACACTGCCCCTAGACAGAGGAGAAGAGGTGCCCGAGAGTCCATCGCATCTTCAGCAGGAGTCCGGTCTTCTGGGTCCACTGAAGCCCTGCCCGAACTCAGTGCGGCCGCCTCCGCGGAGAAGCCTAACCCTAAAGCTATCCAAGACGCATCTCTTCTCCCTAGGCGTGGCCCCTCTAGTCCCGGCGCGCCCGCCCCGCCCACTGACGCCACACGTCCCGCCCTTTCCCCGCCCCTTGCGGGCCGCGGCGGGGCAGTCGCCTTCCCATTGGTTTGGAACTTCAGCAGACGCGCCTGGGATTGACGGATGTATGCGTCGCTCCCGCCTCCGATCCCGGCGCGGCGCGCGATTGGCTGTGGCTGCGGAGAGTCTTCGGTGCCCGGCCTGGGCGGCGCGGACGAGGCCTGAGGCGGCGGCGCGAGGCAGGTGAGCTGCGGTGAGCGGGCTGGGCGAGAGCTGGAGTGGGCGGGGGAACGGGGGTCCACCGCGGTCGTGCCGCGGGCACTGGGGGACTGTCTTAGGGCCGGCCGGGGTGTAGGTGGCAGGGACCGCACGAAGTGGGAACCGCTAACCGGCCACGACGCGCGCGACGTCCTTCACGCTGCCAGGCCGCGCGCCCTAGCGCCCCGGGTCCGGTGTCCCGTGTGCCTTGACACTCTGGTCCCACCTTGCCCCGGACCCCTGGCGTGTTGAGTTCCGGGGGTCTCCTGCTACTCGTAGCGGCGCGCAGGCGCAAGCGCCATCCCGGGGACGCACCCTCCCAGAACGCAGATGTTGCAGGTGCGAGGGGAGCTGCGGGCCGAGTAGCGAGTACCTGGCTTGGGCATCCTGCACCTGCTAATTGTCGGATGTCAGTTCCCTTTGCCCCCTGCCCGGCACGCAGGACAGTACCGGGCTGGCCTGCTGGAGCTTTGTTGGATGCAGTTTGGGGATCCGTGGGCATCAGCTGGGGCAACTTTACTGCTCCTCGCTCTGTGTGTGCGAGTGTGAAGTGCAGTCCTACAATGTGCGCTTCGCGCCTTCCGGACAGGTTCCTAATTAGTGTTTACAGGATTTTCCATTGCATTTTAACTTGACTGTTGCACAGTTTAGATCTCTCCAGAACTCTTTTCTCCTTTCTGAGCTCCAGCTTAAAGTTCTTTTTCTGTCTTTTCGTGTCCCCCCACCCTTTTGATTATTTTTTTTAAATATTTATTTATTTATTATGTATACAGTATTCTGTCTGTGTGTATGCCTGCAGGCCAGAAGAGGGCACCAGACCCCATTACAGATGGTTGTGAGCCACCATGTGGTTGCTGGGAATTGAACTCAGGACCTTTGGAAGAGCAGGCAATGCTCTCAACCTCTGAGCCATCTCTCCAGCCCCCTTTTG